CACACTGATGTGTAGATAGGGAGCTGCAGCCTAAGAAAGGGCTTCAGGTTTGTTGGGACTGGGGAATAGAGAAACAGAGGATTGTTTTGATTGAGTATGAAGTGACACTGTTGAGTCTAAGAAAGACAGAGGTCAGAAGCAGATCCCTGTACTCCCCACAATGATTAGAACCATCTGATGACTCCTCTCCATCCCATTTTCAACATCCTATGAACGAGTTTCCAGTTTTGTATCTCAATTTGTCGAGTAACCAATGCCAGTCTGGGATACAACCTGAACACTGGCTGTTGGGCCTACATAGACATTTTTGGCTTTGGAAACATTCCCAAGTCAAAATTTCCACTACCACTGGGTCCATCCATCTCGGTTTAATTTGAGCTGGCTGCAATCAGATTATCACATATCAGGACGAGCAATGACGAGAATTTCTTTCTGTGGGGATGGAGGGGCTGTTGGGATTAGCAAAGTGGGGTGAGAGAATTCTTCCCCTTGCCTCTAGCTCCTGTTTTACTAAGTTCCTAAAGCAATGGCTCCAACACGCCAGGACTAAACTGGGTGCACTTGTACCTTTGGATTGTTCAGCTTCTTGTTGACTGCACCAGTTTCTTCACTCTATTAATCCTCTCTTCCCCAACCCCATATAAGAAAACGAGCAAGGTCACAGGTTGTAGTGTTGGAGGGATAAAGCTTGGAACGTCATCCTGAAAATACTGGTGAAAAAAAAATCTGAATCCCATGGAACACAAAATTGCTGCTTGAAATCTTCAGTCTTTTGCGTCTGGAGATCCAATTCCTTCAGTTAAAGGGCAGTTTTAGTGAACAGGATTTATAGCACCTAAGCCATCTCAAGCACCATGTCAGAAACTGTTTCCATAGTTGCTTTTCTCCAGATGAAGACCTTTCAACTTGTAGCCTTCCTCTTTCTCCTCCCTTACTCCCTCTCCTGTCCCAGAAGTGAGTCAGTGGTATGATTCGATTCCAGGATCAGCATGCAATTAATCAGTCACATTTTCATCAACACAATAACAGCACATAAATCCAGACCACAATTACATTCTGGCTCTAAAGCCAAAAGAGACCAAGATACCTTTGAGAGCTTGACAGAGTAAAGTGCGACTCCAATACAAAAGTAAAATTCTGCAGATATGGAAGGCTGATATCAAACAGAGATGGCTGGAAATACTCAGGTGGGGGGGGGAGAGAGAGAGTGAGAGAGTTAATCCAAAGGTTATTGACCTGAAATGTTCACTGTTTTTCTCTCTCCATAAATGCTGCTGAGTATTTACAAGCATTTTCTGTTTTATTAAAGTGTAATTTGAGTTGTGAGAGAGTGGCTGGGTTTTAAATCAGTGCTCGAATGGATCTTATAGGCACTTTGGAATCTCACTCCAGAGTTTCTCTGAAGTTGAGAAAGCAGCTGCTCCTACCTGCACTTTCAAACATATAACATTCACTGACCAAGTACAGTATGTATGCACCATAATCTCAAACCACCAGGCAAGTGTCTTGCTGACACTCTATAATCAACAGCACCGGCAACACAATATCGTCAACAGTTGTTACAAATCTAACAGAACAGTATGTTACTGTGCTTGCACAATAGTCACAAAACCCCAGAGATGTGAAGAAATGTTTTTGCAACCTCCACCTTCAAAGGCCACATCAGCTGCAAACCCATGCGAGTGGCTTCGTACAAATGATTGAACGCTTAGCTCTCTGCTCAGACTTGTAGACACCCCTTATCTTAATTTTCTTGACTTCCATTTGGACAGAGATTTGATAAATAGAACAAAACAGAACATATGGTTCTCACCCTTCCAGATTCAAAGGGCAAACTCGAGACAAAACGACAAGATCCTTGGACTGTGTATTTCAAAAACATATCACTCCCATCATTTAATGTGGATGTGAACACTACAGAGCTGGATTCACTAAAGCACTCAATGCTACAGATGTAAACCAGGTACAAGTTACACTGCTTGTTAAAAAACAATATCTGACAAGACAGGTTTAATGTGAGCCATATCTCTGCATATGAGAGTAAGTGCTGGAAATCTCTCACCTTAAATAGTTTCCATGTTTGCTTGTTCCACAACAAAGTTATCACTTAACAACTAGTGGCAGATTCAAATGACACACAAGCTGAAAAAAATCAACTCACTTCTGTGTAGTAATTCCATTGATTCTGACAAATTAAGATGCAGTTCCACAGTAATGTGTTTCAGAGATAGGGGGAACTGCAGATGCTGGAGAATCTGAGACAAGGTGTAGAGCTGAATGAACACAGCTGGCCAAGCAGCATCAGAGGAGCAGGAAGGCTGACATTTCGGACCTAGACCCTTCTTCAGAAAGAAGGGTCTAGGCCCGAAACGTCAGCCTTCCTGCTCCACTGATGCTGCTTGGCCTGCTGTGTTCATCCAGCTCTACACCTTGTTA